GGGGCGCGTCCCGCCGGGAAGGAGCCGCAGCCACGAGCGGGAGGGAGAGGCGCGGGGCTCCCCAGCAGCAGTGGGGATTCGGCCCACGCCCCCGCGCCGCCCACCGGGCCCCTGCCCGCTCCATGCTGCCCCCGACCGGACCCATCGCACTGCCCCGCGGGCTGCAGGGCTGGAGCAGCCTCCAGGCTGCGCTCCCAGCCCCGGTGTGCAGTGGCCCAGGCAGGAGCCCTCTGGCACGGCGAGGGGGGGTTCACAGCTGAGCCTCCCGTTTCCCTCCCTTGCCCTCCCTGCAAGACCTGTCTTGGACTGTGTTCCTGTTGTCTAAATAAACCTGCTCTACTAGCTGGCTGAGCGTCATGGTGAATCGCAGGAAGCCGGGGGTGCAGGGCCTTGTGTCCCCCCCACACTCCGTGACTGGGGGTTTGCCTTTATAACAACAGCAAAACCTAAAACAACTCAGCCTTCTGGTTCTCCTGCACTGGGCTGCTCCTAGTGTTTTCCCTACAGAACTTGCAGTTGTCAGCAGGATCTCAGCCAGTACTCTCCTAAGGGATATGGCACAACAGCTGCACTACAGATGTGGTCAGAGGCACTGTCATCCAGAGCTTCCCCTGGAGCCCTGAGACTCTACTTTGCAAGTGCAGCCTGGCCCTTTATAGTCACTTTTCTCTGTTACTTTACATGTAACTTTACTTTACCAATATTTTGTGCTGCAAGTGTGGCCATTTCTCAACCACGTCATGTTTATATCGTTCTGCCCCAGCTCAGTGGAGGTCTCCCCATCGTATTGACTTTTCCAGTTGTTCTTTTACATTTCCTACACATTTTTAAAGGAGTCCGTTACTCCAGAATGTGTTCCCTGGACAGTATTACGTTTGACATATATGTTAGCTGCACTGCTCTGCTCTGTAACAGACAGCTGTTAATTCAAAGCTATTTGAATTTAACTTCCTTTCAGTAAAGATTCAGATGCTGATTCCTGGAATATCCATTTTTTTAGTTACAATTTGCTGATTGTACAAATATGCTCTACTTCTGTTTAACTGTGTTTTTACCTGTTACGGTTTCTTGTCCTTCAGCTATGATATGTAATTGAAATAGAAATAGGACTCATTATATCCAATTAAATATTTAATTTCCATCAGTTAGGGGTGATAATCATATTTTTTTCCTAAGTATGGTTGGTGAAGGGTGCTGTATGCAATATGCAGCATTACTGAATTCAAAATGCTGGAGAGGTGTGAAATAATCACATAGTAACCCCCTCTAGTACCATGTGGTTAACATTACGCCACCACTGGTTGCCACTCTTTTGGGGCCAGATTACCTTAGCTGCTCAGATTCTATGGTGATGAGTGCCATATAAGTGCCTGGGCAGCTATAATCAACTTATGTCAGGGAGCCAAAGAAACAGAGCAAACGTTATTTAGAAAACTTCCCTAACTTACTACTGTTTCCTCCAGAACTGCAGGAATAACTATCCTTAGGGTTAGGTCAGGATCTAGTGGCACAGTTCTCATTTGCTTGCTTCATCTTCTGTACGTCATTCTGAACATTTTCCTGGAGCTCTAAGCCTCACTGTCCTCACACTTTACTTGAGTAAAACGCTCACTGAAGCCCATGGAAAGATTGCCTGAGAAAGGACTGCAGGAGTGGACTCAAATTATTATTTTAATTTAATTGTTCTTGGGTGAATATTTACTTATGTAGTATATTGTGAAATGAGGGATCTTTTTTGTGCACAGGCCATTTGAAATAACTGATGCTGTCTGTGAAGTGATGGTTCCTGACACGAATGCTTAGAGCATTGACTCGTTAACAGGAGTTCTATTCTCAAGTGTGGTGCTAACTTGTCACATGACTTTAAGCCAGGTTACCTAGATGAAACCCATGGGAATTAGGTGCCTAAATACCTTTGAGGATCTGGACCTTAACCGCTATACCTCAATTTCCGGATCTGTAACAATGGGCATAAATAGTACGTATCCATCTTTATAAAGTGCTCTAAAAATCCCTGGATGAAAGGTTCTTTGAAGTGCACACAATTATTATTTTATATCATAATGCTTTTAGCTGGACATCTTTGTGCTAAAAAAACAGAAACCAAAAGCAATATTTTTCTAGAGTTGCAGAGATATTTCCTTTGTCATATTCAATTCCAGTTGAACATGTCACACTAGAGTTATAGTTCTTAAAGCTGAAAAACAACCACTGTAGTGAAGCTGGCCAGAGAAGAAAAAGTATGTTAGATGTTCAAGTTTAAGATTAAGTAGACCTTAAAATTACTGATATCTGTAAACACTGTTTTACAATGGTTTTTTTAATATCAGAGGTGATGCACGCTGAAGCTAATGAGTCAATACAATCATCGTGACAGGTCTAGAATGACAGTACAAAGCAGATAAGGACAGTGGTGCCCAGTAGCACTACATCTCAAGCCTGGCAGCCTTTACCATTACCAAGCCTTAGTTTAAGATATGTTTTTAACTGTCCTCTAAAACCCCACACCAGGCTGGACTGTAGCACACAGTTACACCTTTTCAAAACGTAGAAAAAAAGCAGTTTGGTCATTTGTAAATAGAAATAGTACTAACGCATTTTTAAAAATGAATGACTTCACTAGGTTTTATTTTGTATTCCAGTAATTTTTGCCGTGTGGACTAGAGGGGGGGAAATTAAAAACGATTTATTTCCCTATAAATATCCAGTCCCTTTTGCTAAGGTCTTGGCCTCATCCCCATCCTGGGGCAGTGAGTTCTCATTACACACTGTCTGAAAAGTATTTCCTTAGAAATTTTTGGCGTAAACGCTGAAGCAGCCTTAAGAAATACTTCTACATTCTGCTTAATTAGATGGGGGAACTCAGACCCAGATCCTTAAAGCTACTTAGGTATTGGATCAGGTGTTCCAATACCTAAGCCTTAGTTGCCCTGCCGCCCACAGGAATTTTCAGCCCCAAGGTTGGCACTTAGGCTCCCCATACAACATAGGGGGAGAGTTAGGGGCTTGATCTACAAAGGTACTGTGCCATCTGAGTCCAACATTTAGGCACCACTGACAGGCTCAAAACCACTACTCAGCTGCCATCTAACCCTAAGTGTGGGCACCTGAGTTTCACCAGTTAGGTATGTGCAAAGCTGCCTGAGTGCTGATGCTGGTCCAGAGCTGCTAAGTGGCCCAGAACCCTAGTTCACAGATAAGTTCTGTCCTTGGCATTTCCTATTGGCTCAGCTTGCTTCCTGCTGTGAATCCCACTTTTAAGTGCCCAACTCTTCCTATGCATTGCATAGGGAGTCTGGATGCCCAACTCAAGGCTAAGGATTTTATTAGGCAGCACGGTGACTAAAATTAGACATTGCAGTGCTGAGCTAAAACCTCCTTTGTGGATCGAATGCCTCGTAGGCACCTACGTTTCTATTGGTAAAGATGGAGATGCTGACACAGTGGATATGCAGCTGCTTCAGTCCTGACACCACCAAGTGACTTGCTGCCTAACTCATGGGCCTTGGTGGGATTCTCAGCCCCAACCAATCTCACCCATGGGGCCCAACCCATAGTTAGGCTCCGAGGATGCTTTTTGGCAGTGGTGTGTAAACTGGGGGGAGGAGGGGATGCTTTCGGGATGGGGAGAAATGCAACAGTCTCTATCGTGTGGGATGGGAGTGGGATTAAACAAATAGGCCGCAAACACCATAAATGCTCCCCCCACCCCCCAGCTGCCACTCTCTAGCACCTAGCTCTGAAGGCAGCACCACTGCCAGCAGCAGTACGTAGTGACAATGCCTCTCTTACTGCTCCTCCCATCCCATCCTGTGATACCCACTTGCTCCCACATTGTTTGTTGAATTTTTAGCTCACTCCCGCTAGTATGGCAGGGGGATCCCAGTCCTGCTGCAGGGTAGAGCCCTTGCCAAAAAAAAAAACAACTTTCAGATTACATGTAACGTGGGGGGGCAGGCGAGGGAGGCATGACAAATTCTGTGACTAGTAAGGCCTATGGGATTGCCCCTTCTTCCCCCGCAGCCCCTAGGAGGTGGGGAAGCAGAGAATGTCCTACCCACTGGCCAATAGCAATTCATTCATATTTCCCCCCCCCCTCCCCCACCCCCATTTCCCAACTACTTAATTATACACAGTGGAAGAGCAGCAACAGGAGAGATCAAGACACACACACCCCCATGCCTCCCAAGTACCCCAGTGCTTAGGGCACTCTCCGTGGGAGGGTGGCTGGTCCACAGTTGGGGGGGGGGATTTGGCTCTCACATCCTGGGTAAATGCTCTTGCCCCTAGGATTTCAGTTAAAAGCAGACCCCCACCACCACCACCACCTCTGAGGTTTTTCTTGAGAAAGGGCTGACTGGCTTAGGCACCTAACGCCAGGAGTGGGTTCATGGCTGTGAATGCCAAGTGTAGGGAGGCACTGGTCCAGCCTGGTGCCTAACTCCCCAAACCTCGTGCTGCCAGGGGATGGGGAGTGATAGCTCTGGGGCCCTGGTCCCCCTGAAAAAAATCTCCTGCCATGGCCCCAGGCCTGAAGGCATTCTCGCTCCCCGCTGCAGCCACGGCAGGGGCACAGAGCTTTTCTGGCCTCAGGAGATGGGGAAGTGGAGGGGTGGAATAGGGCCAGGGCCGAGCTTTCAACACCTTCCCCCCATAGCCCCAACCAAGCTCTCAGCCTCCCCTCTCCCCTGGGCCTGGCCAGGGTCGTGGAGAGTGGAGGTGCTCAGCCCTGTGGCCCTGACAAGGCTCTCAGCGCTCCTTCCCCACCCAGTGGCCCTGACCGAGCTCGCAGGGCTCTGAGGGGAGTCAGGGCTGGGCTCTCAGCCCTCCTCCCCCGTGCCACAGGGAGAGGCAGACAGCACAGAGTGGGGAAGGGCCCTCGGCTAGAAAAGGCAGACAGGGGCTAGCCTCCCCAAGGGGAAGCTTCACCCGCTGCCTGTGGGCAGAACTACGGTTACACCCCTCACCTCAGCATTTCCTATGGGCTTGGTTAGCTGGCTAGCTTGTTGGCGTCTGAAACGCCCATTTTTTAGGGTATGTCTACACTACAATTAGCATGTGCGTGATGGCACAGGGTTGTACATAGCTGCGCTAGCTTGTTTGGTGAAGCTGCGGCAACACAGACGTCAGCGTGGACGAGCTCGGGGGCCCGGCTGCACGTCTGCAGCCTGAGCTGCCATGGCTTCGCTGCTGTTGCACCCCAAGCCAGCTCCGGTAAAGGTGGTTCAGGTCTGGCTACATGTGCTGCGGTCAGACACCCTGATTCCAGCATAGCCATTCCCTTACGCATTTAACTCTACCCACGCAGCATGTGGAGGAGCCTGGATGCCTAACTTGGACCTGAGGATGCCACTTGCATCACCTAAGTCCCTTTGTAGTGCCAGTCCCAGGCACCTAAGGGCTATTGTTTCTTTTCCAGAAACTAGCAAGCTGAGCAGGAAGCAACCTCAGCGAGCTAGGAGGGACATGCCCATGAGCCTGTCTCCTGTCTTTGCTTAAGTACCTAAGTGGCTGGCCTGGTACAGTGGGCTACTGATCAGAGCCAGGCACCCATGCCACTCTGGATCCTGAGCTCTGAACCCTGTGTTGGCATGAGACCCCAGCAGCCAAAACTGCATCGCTTGCTCTCTCTGGGTCCTGCTCATTCTTGACCTCTGTCACATTTACCCTGTTCCCCTGGTGGGTGCTGCTCCTGGGCTTACAAGTAGGATTGCCAGGCATCCAGTTTTTGACCGGAATACCCAGTCGAAAAGGGACCCTGGCGGCTCTGGTTGGCACCACCAATCTGGCCGTTAAAAGTCTCATCAGTGGCACAGTGAGGGCCCAGGGCTAAGGCAGGCTCCCTGCCCTCCTTAGTGCTGTGCAGCTCCTGGAAGTGGCCACCAGGTCCTTGCAGCCCCTAGGCGCATGGGAAGCCAGGGAAGCTTCATGCGCTTCCCCCCACCCTTCCCCCGCCCCGAGTGCAGGCTCTACAACTCCCATTGGCCAGGGCTGCAGGGACCTGGCAGCCGCCTCCTGGGAGGTGCAGTAAGTGCCCCCGGGACCCCTGCTCCAGCTTGAAGCCCTCTCCTGCACCCTGAACCCCTCAGTTCTGGCCATAACCCCGAGCCCATACCCCCCCATGCACCAATCTCGTGCCCCGGCCGGAGCCCTCTCCCACACCCCCAGTGAAAGTGAGTGAGAGTGGGGAGGAGGAAGTGGGAATGGAGAGAGTGGAGGTGGAGCCTCAGAGAAGGGGCAGGGGTGTTCAGTTTTGTTCCATTAGCAACTTGGCAACCCTACCTACTAGGAGCCTGCATCCAGCCCCCCCCCAGCTGCATGTTCAGTGCATGCCTATGGGAGCAGGCCCCACTGACAAGATAGATGGTAGCCTGCTGGGCGGGTGGGCACCCAGCCTAAACTGTGTGTTAGCTGGGGGGGGGGGGGAGGTGGCCTGTGGGCTGAGGTGGCTTTGTGAATGCTGATTGGAGGACTCATAGGCACCTAGAGGACTTAGGGTTAGCTAGCAGCAGAGTGGCACTTTTGAAAAAAGTCAGTGGCAGCTAAATGGAGGTGTTAGGTATCTAATGAGGCAGTTAGCCACCTAATACCTTAGAGGAGTCATTGGCCATTTAATGGATAACAGCAGCCACCAGATTATAGAATAGTTACTGGTAACGATATTAAACCTCCTACTTCAAGGCTAAATCCGATCTCTAGCTATTAGAGATTAACCCACAACTGCCTCCTGCAGGGTTCTCGTTCCCCTCTCCTACCCCACCCCAAAGTATCTGGTACTGGCCATTGTTGGTGACAGGACACTAGATGAGCTGGACCTTGCCTCTAATCCAGGCTGGCAATTCCTAGTTAATATAGAAAAGGGACCAGTACACTGTTTAACCCATATTTAACTACAATTTCTTAGGGATTTTTACTATGGCGGCATGTCGCATGCAAGCCTGACAGCCACACAGTGATAGAAGACCTCAAGCTACATTGGCTCTGCAATGAAAGAGCTGCAGCACAGCTGTGGCTGGCCTGAGTCCGCTGACTTGGGCTCAGGCTGTGGGGCTAAAAATAGCAGTTTAGCTGATCAGCGTTGGGCTGGAGCCTGGGTGCTGAAATGCAGCAAGGGGCTCACAGCCTGGGCGCCAACCCGAGACTGAGCGTCTCTACTGCTATTTTTAGTCCCACAGCCTGAGTCGCAGCCAACGGACCGGGCTCTGAGACTGTGTGCTGCCTGTTTCTTTTTGCAGTGTAGACATATCCTAACAGCGCTATATTTTACCATGTCCAAAATCCTTTTAGCATTAAACCAATAATAAAGTAACTAAAAGACAGGTCACTATGGCAGCCTAGGAGCCATTGTAATCTATAACAAAATCTTTTACAGTGACCATTAACATCCTCTGTAAATCAATTTGACTAAAGTTCACCAATTTTAAGTTGACTAAAGTTCACTATGTGCTGGATATGCCGCCAGTAGCCAGGGTGAAATGGTTCGTCACATAATCATTAGTTTAAAATCCATTCTCTTCTTTCTAAGGTGCCATGACATAACATGTGAGGAATAAAACACAGTCACTAAGGGTATGTCTTCACGGCAGCTGGGACCCATGCCTGCCTGCCCAGGCAGACAGACACAAGCTACCTCTACTCAAGCTAATGTGCTGAAAATAGCAGTGTGGACATTATGACACAGGCTAGTCACCTGTGGGGAGGGGGGGGAGGGGGTGTGTGTGTGTGTGGGTGTGAGAGAGAGAGAGTCAAGAGGGCTTGTACTCAGGTGGCTAATCCATGGCACTGTTTGTGCCACAACATCCTCGGTGCTCATTGTTAGCGAGCTACCTCAACTTTAGCTAGTGTGTGTCTGTCTACCTGGGCTGGGAAGCTCACCCTAAATCCACGATTCTCAAATTGGGAGTCAGAACCCCAAAGTGGGTCACAACCCTGTTTTAATGGGGTTATGAGGGCTGTCTTAGACTTGCTGGGGCCCAGGGTCGAAGCTGAAGTCTGAGCCCCATCACACCGGGCCAAAGCCTGAGCTGCATGGCCTAGGACGGAAGCTAAAGCCCGAGAGCGTCAGCCCTGGGTGGCAGGGCTCAGGTTACAAGCCCCTTGCCTCGGCTTTGGCCCCCACATCCGGGGCAGCAGGACTCAAGCTTTGGTCCCCCCTTGTGTAGTAATTTTTGTTGTCAGAAGAGGGTCATGGTGCAATGAAGTTTGAGAACTCCTTCCCTAAATGGTGGAAATTAAACATCAGCTGGAAATTGGCCAGAGCATGGGGGTAAATAATTGGCCAAGTAGTGTAACTTGTACTAGTTTTGCATTCAGGGGTTTCCAGACGGAAAGAGTAAGTAGCAGGGGAAAAAATACCAACTGAGGCAAATTAGAAGGACTGCTGTATCCTACTTGCTGCATCCCTTCCACCTCTTTGCAGTTACAGTTTAGATTCTCACGGAATCATAAATTGGTGCAAATTATGCTATATGACCCATTACGCCCATTTTCTAACCAAATGCCACCACCGTTTATGTCCTGGCTGAGTATGAGGCAGAGACTTCCATAGGAGGTGCAGCTACTCCCATCAGGTGTGAATTTGGGCAAATTGTGTACACCCAGTATGATCCCACTGCCTCGGTGTATTGCACCTCACTTTTGAGCTTCCTGACTTTTGACAGTTTAAGATCAACCATTAACAATAGCTTTGGTTTCACAATTTGTACAACGAAGGAGCTTTATCGCCTGAATTATAGCATTCATGTAATAAGTAAATTACTCCCCACAATTACTTCGAAGAAGTGATTGAGTTTCAGTAGTTGGGAGGTGAAAGGACAAATAATACTGGAAATGAAATCCATCTTTCTGCACAAGCCATTATAACGCAATAAGACCCACTGTGAATTTCCATATATCGAACTATTAGTGTCCACCCCTGTAATTCACAGGAACTAGCCACATGTGCATCATGAAGAACCTGCCATGTTCTGCTACTTTTTGTCCTCAAGGGGACAGTCTCAGAACCACTGAACTCAAGCCACTCAGGCTCCTAATCTCTCTGTGACCCAGGATCTATCAGAAGAAAGTTACTGGGGAAATGGATGGGAGAGAGTTTGGAATGGTAACGTTATATCTCATGTGATTGATGCCATACGATTTCTATTCTGCTGGTTGGTGTAGACTTAGGAACATCACATAAGTACCTATCGTAGGGGAAGGCATCAGTTCATATACTCTTAATCCATTGCGGGCTGTCTGCAGATTGCAGCTGGAAATGGGAGGATTACAGAGTTAGTGGGAAGTATAAAAGGCCAAACAGAATAATGGAGTTAGTGAGCGTCCTCTGACCTCCTGAAGTGGCCCCTCTCATTTCTCAGTCTTAATTATACACACAGTGCCACAGATGGTGGTGATATCCCAGGATAAAATCTAGTAAACCTTGCCCTGCCCTCTACCCCGTCTCCATTAAGAAAGAGCAGCCTGACATCATAGCTGCAAGGGCACATTTACATCAAAAGGAATTTTCTTTGCCATTTTCATATTAATGTGAAATGTCAGACTGTAGCATCTCACACACGATCTTCACATGGGAATTTTCTTGCCGTTAAAGACTCTACCTTGGAGTGGAGCCCAGCCATTTAAAAAGAAATACAACATTTCCAGATCAAATATTAATTACATGCTCAATAGAATCATATTTTTCAAAGGGAAAACTTATAAACAAGAAGTTAGGCCTTTCTATACGACCAGCAATATATTTTGGATTTGAAGGCTTATGAAAGATAATCACATAATTGTGAATTAGAAAAATACTGGCCTAGCCTGCATAAAAACCTCCATTAAATAAGTATTTTAAGTTTTCACTATGAAAATTCAGTGGCAACGTGCTTTAAAAAACTATAATGAATTAAACATCCCATTAATGATAGTCAAGTTGCTTTTTACAGATCACATACTTAGACAGGAGGTGAGCTGGCTGGACAATGTTAATTATTGGATTATAATACAATTGGATACAAAATGTCCTTTTACGTATTCCTTCGCGAGAACTTCCTGAATATTGTAGTGGTTTCCACCCACAAATCCTGTTAACCTTGCTTTTTTAGATTGCCTTGTTCTTCTGCGAGGTTCAATACCCTGAAGCCTGATACAGTAGGTGATTGTGATTGCAGTCTTGTGCATTCATTCCTCAGAACACGGGTTTAATCTCCAGGTGATTTATCGTAAGTGATTCTGGTTTCCAGTCTGGTTGAAAAAAGTGAATATTGAATGTCCGTGCCCAGTTCTCAAACACTCGTTTCTCTGTGATAAAACGATGATGGCTGCCCTTTCGTCCCCGCTCGTGTGAAATGTACATTGTACATTCATCAGGTCCCAAAGGTTCATAATAATGATAAGGTACTGAAGAATGATTAGGATCCCTGTGGAAAAAAGAAAATAGATGGAAGTCCAAGATGTTCTTTGTACTGATTGAAAAAAGATGCTATCTTAAATAAGCTGGTGGGCGCAAATCATTTTTTGTCCCAGTTAAACTGAATTTCCTGCAGGTGGTATTTTTCTAGCATAGTTAAGCTGTATCTGAATGAAGCAAAGGTGGTTTTCTTTTCCCTTCCTGATAAAAGAGTGACTCCCCTGGCTCAAAAACAAGGGGGGGTCTGCGTGCTGCAGTGACACATTGCTGCACTGAAATTTGAAGCATGGTGCTTAAAAGAGATTTATATTCAGTTTGTAACACGAGAGGAGAGGTGCACACTGTATTGAAGGGGGGGGAAGGGGAGGAGTTGATCCAAGTCACTTCATTCTCTCACACCTGCTTGTGTGAATATTCTCCCAGCATGGTGCCAGGGATATAACCACCCAATTTCATTAGCACTTCCCACGCATATTAGGTTGATGATGCAACCCTCTCTTGCTGACTTTTTAATCAAATGGAACCAATGCACAAATGAGTTCCTTCTATTATAGTATCCACTTTCATATACCTAGGGGGCAAAAATTAAAGCCATTCACCCAGGGCATCTCTTAGACCTTGTAACCCCATGCACATCAACCTGCAGGGATGCCACAGAGCACATCATTTTAAGTAGAGAGAGATTTATGTGAGACATGGATCATTTTAACAATTTTCAACTCACTGATGGTACCTGCTACAGAAAAGGTGCTTGGTTTTAATTCTCACACCACACTTTGGTTGCCGTGTTTGATTTTCTGTATCAGCCAGTATGTTGTTTTGAAAAATATACATATTACCCTCCCAAATACCTTTAATATGGGCAAGGCTAATTTGATCTCACAAGAAAACATATCCAAGCCAGTGTTACTACTGGAGCTTAAATGGAGCGTATATGACCAATGCAAAACAACTCTAATGTAGGGCTGTTTTCTGGCTGATGCAGAGCCCCTATAATTCCTCTGTGCCTCACTCCTTCCTGCCCCCAGGCTTGGCCAGAACGCACTACTCTGACCATTGTGCACTGGCATAATGGTCCACACAAGGTTGTTCCAAGTTGTTGCAACTCGGAGGAGCTCTGAAGTTGCTCTAAGCTGAGCTGGCCCCGATATGGCACATGAAGAGACCAATGCAGAATCAGCGCTGGTAGCTGTAATACCAAGCTTATTACTTTCCATTTTAAAAGGAACTATTTAATGTTTGAGCTCAGTTTCAATCAAATATACAAAAAAAAAATCTAAAGTATTTTGGTATTGCCCATTATTTCTATTGTATAGCATCTGTCACCTGCACAATTCTCTGGCTAATTTTCCTTATTTCACCATTCTCCATATTGTATGTGTAGCAGTAATGTAAAAAATTGCTGCTGCTTTCCATTTATCCCTTAGATTAACATTTTAATTCAATCAGTCTAGCTTTCTAATAACACAATACAATACTGAGATCAATCCTCCAGCAACACACTAACAATAAAATTACATTTCTAAAAATAAGATTGATTCTGTTCGTATTGTACATAGCCTCACTGGAATATGTATGAGAACTAAAAAAAAAACCCACCAACCATTAGTACTTCATCTACAGACCCCGATTTTTTTTAATTTTAAAAATCCATGTTTATATATGTATTTAATATAGATGGTTTCATCTATCACCAAGGTAGATTTCTAGATCTCTATTTCAAATGAATGTCACACTAAGTTTATTATAAAAGGTCCAATGTATTAAAAAGAAAAATAAATCTCCTCGCTGAGTGGTTTATACTGTTGCCATAAATCTAACAGGGTATATTTTTAATGTGGTATTCAAAAAGAAAATCAGAACTACTATGTGTATAGGCATGTGCATATCATTTAGATTATTACTCCTTTACAATGTAATCCCCCTCTCTCTTACCCCCCTCTCCCCCCACACACACACTTTCTCTACTGTAAATCTGGAGTAACTCTGTTTAAATCACTGGAAATACACTGGTGTAAAATCAGTGTGTGTGAGATCAGAATCAGGTCCATGTTATCCATCTAGCTAATACTTTTACTGTGGTAACAAATTAATTGCTTAGGGTCCACTCCTGATAAAACTTCCAGGTTTACTGGCTCTGGCATTTCCTAGGCTTTTAAACAGCATCTTGGAGGCTGCATCATATTAAAAAGGGTGGGTATCCAGCATCTTGGATTAGACAGGAATTCTTTTTTCTCGTCATATGGAAAGATAAAAGCCTATTAGGAAGATACCCCCTATTTAAAGAGGTTAGTTCAAAGCTACAGTTGTAGAAACAAATGTAGACTTCAGGGTCTGGAGTTGGGACCTGGATGGTCCCAAGAACTTGGAACAGAAGAGCAAATGAAGCAAAGAAATTATTTGTATTATGTCTCTTCCCTCTCTCTCCTTGTGCCTGTACCTTGAGTTTAACTCCCATGGATCTTATTCTTTGCTTTGTTTGATGGCTTCCATAGCAGGCCAATCTTTCCTATGTAGGTAGGCCTATATCTTGTGCTGGATGGGGCCCATAGTTACCTCATAACAATGTGTTATTTTAGACCCAGATCCTGTGAATAACTCCACACTGGCTTCAGTGGGACTCTGTACAGGTACAGATACAGATGTATATTCATGAGCAGTCACTTCCAGGATCGGGTTCCAGAAATTCCAGGTTATTCCATTTAATACAATGGTGACTACTAGAAATGGGTCTGAACCAAAACCAGTTATAGGAACACACCAAACTCAGGGGAAGGGAACATCCAGATTTGTATCATAACAACTTTGGCCCAGATCTTCAAAGGGATCCCCAATGGGAGTTAGGTGCCTAAATACATTTGAGCACCTGGGCCTTTGTGTTTAGTCTCTTCTTCTCTCATAGAAGCCAAACCTAAATCCCAGTTCCAAAGACCCCTGAACTTCAGGAGAGCTGGGTTTGGATCTGAACTCTGTGGCTTGAGTAACTACACAGTAACCCAACTTAACTGTACCATGTTCTCTCCTAACTGCAATTAACTTGTGTCACCAGCAAATGAAATGCATGAGTAATCTCTATCAGGAAATTGCTAGTCATCTCATTTATTAATATTAAAACAGATGCTATTTTACCACTGCCTGATACTGGACATTAATCAGTATTTTGTCAGTTAGCATGCATATTAATATCACAGCTGGGAGGGAGCTGTTGGATGGCAGTTTGTAAAATATACTATACTTTCTCACTCATAGCATGCCAGCGCTGACACACAATAAACACTTGTATCTGGCGTCAATCATTTACTTTTTGCCACTTCAGTGCACATGTTTCCACAGATGGTATCCACCCACACTGGTACCTGAAAATACAGCAAACAGTGTTTGCATTGAAAGGAATGAAGCAGAAAAACAAGGCCATCCCATCTCCCGCTCCAGTCAATCTCTTCCTTTACAAATTAAAAGTGGCTGTAAATCAGCCATGCAGAATTATACTTGCTCACTTGGGGTGAGTACTATATATATTTTGAAGGGCAAATAAAATGTCATTATTCTTTATCATCATCAATCACCATGTTGAAGTATGGACAAGCAGATTTTGTGCTTCGGCTGTTAAGTTTTCTGGACAATTTTGCCTCCTCTCTCCAGTGCCCTGCCCCCTTTGGAATCTAATTTCTAGTCTATTAAAATTGTTCCAAACACCTTTATACATTTTGCTTCTGATTATATAGGACGGAATTGTGCAGCTCTTACTGAGGTAGTGCTCTCACTGAGGTCAATGAGTAAGAACTGAAGGAGATAACCCACTATGAATAGTGGCCATACAATTGGGAATAAAATGCATAACTCCAGACAACATAACTAGGAACAATAGCTACTTGATTTAAGGCAGTTGGGGGTGGGACAGAGTAAGAAGCCAGAGTCAGAGGTGGTGGCCAAAGGAATAAATTACAGAACTTTAAACACCAATTTGCCTAAATTTCCACAAATGAGAAATGACCTGACAGCCAAACAAGAGAATTCTTGATAGGAAAATATCATTTTTTTACCTGACTCTAAATGGCCTCTATGTATATGCCTCTGGTTGTGCAATTAAAACAGTGATCAGAATACGCTCTGGTGTAGGAAGATCTCCACAGATCCATGCCAGGGCTCTCCTCAGGCAGAGCTCCTCCCCAAATGCGGAAAGCAGCAATATGTATGGTGCCAGACTCCCTCACCAGAAAAGGTTTGGTGGGGTTGCAAGTGGAGCAAGAGCCTGGCGGCTCTCTATGGCACCATTCCGAGATTGTCTTAGATTTCCTATCAGGAGTTAATGCTGCCAGAAATAACATCAACCCTCTTGTGTCCTTCCAGCAGATGCTACTGGGCAGCCAGACGCTTGGGTATATCTGTCTGCACTGCAAACTAAGACCAGGCTGAGACTCAGGTTTGAGCCCAAGCCCCACTGTGTCCACACACAAATCAGTCTGACTTGCATCAGCAAGCTCTCAGGAGCCAAGGCCTAGAACCCTGCTAGGGCCTGAATCCCACTGTGACTTGGGATAAACCCTGTCATTTTGCAGAGTGGATGCAGGTCAAGCCACCGACCTGAGGTGTAAGGTCTGTGTAGTGCAGAAGAGATGCATTAGCACAGCTGTGAAACCCGGATCCAGCAACTGTAAACACAGGTTTACAATGCAGTGCGGATGCTCAAGCATGGGCTAGGAAACACTACTCCACTTGTGAGTTTGCAAGTTTGGGTCCCACAGACCCGGGCTTAGTGAGCAGTGTAGACATACCCAAGGGGACCCAGCAAATGGCAATGCAGCTCCTGGAACTGGGTTGCAATGGGAGCCAGTAGAGATAGGAACATCCACACAGAATGCCTCCTGTCTCTGGGGAAGAATGACACTTCCTTGTGTGCCCAGGATCACAGGAATTAGGAGATCTCACTTTTGTGAATTCTACAGGAACCCAAATCCCTCACTTTGCAAGGACAATTAAAGGAAGCACTGCGAAATGTGGTGTATTTCT